TTTGATTTTGTATATGGGGACTCTGCACCATTATTTACACAGTGAAATTTTGTGCAGCTGAATTTAAACGTGGCCGTAAGAAATATTACTGGAGTTTTTTCCCAATACCAAATCGTTATTTTCACACCTCGACACGTGTTGGGAAAAAACTCCAGTAATATTCATTACTACACCAAAGGTTCCAAACAGTACATCATAAGTGGCCGTAAGAGCTTGGGAGACGATGAATGTACTAACCAACCGCATATAAAAATCTTCACATACAGTAAAAGGGCATACTTGGTTAGTACCTCGTTTACAGGCAGATAGAGAGATGACAAATATGTTGTTTGTCATTCGCTTCAGCCTTGTTCGAGGAATGATACTCTGAAAGGAATTCGATTTTTAATCATGGAAAATCATCGACTTATTGTTGATGATGGACACTACCGAAACTGGTCTGCAAGTGGGCCCATTCCAATAATTGAAAAAAATCGATTCTGGCAGTTGTACCGCCAAAAGCACATGTGAATAATCCTGCACTGGCACCTGTTGGATATAATTCAACGCCCTCCGTGATACTAGCCAGGGGAGTAGTTGTTTTCTGAAAGGTGTTAGTCCATTAACCTACAGTATAAGTGAGTTGAGACTGGCCTGAACTAATTTTTCTTTCGGATAATTTGATTTACAGCCAGCCTTCAAGTATGCCTCCTTACTATATTTATGTGAAGCTCAGTATTGAATTATAATCAAGGTAAAGATGCAGACCTGCTTCGGAAATAGGGGTCGACCAGCTTAACCTTCGATATAATAATAATAATAAAATTCCACTCAGCCGAGGCTGATGGGGATGACTAGATGTAGAGCAGCCGATTTTGAAGGCAGATCGTTTATATCACCAAAAACGTAGATTTGTCGAGTCTTCAGAATTGCAGAAGTCGGACAATTCATAACGGGTATATTATTCAGTTAGAGATACGAATATGAATGAATGATAACTTTGTAGGTATTTTATCTGTGAACAAAAATTTCTTGAAGGATCTCTAAATCGGTTAGAAAATATATAAAACACTGAACTAAAACGAAATGAAAACTTCTATTACCTCCAATGAATTATCGGTGTTGTTCAAATCACTACTCATATATCCCCAACCAGAAGGCTGCTGGGCCCCTTGGCTCTCTTCAGGTACAGTTGCCAACTTGCTGGACAAAAATTCCGGGAAGAATGGAGAGGTGTCCATGAATTCATCCAAAGTGGGCTGCAAAGGGCCCAGGCTAGGTTGGATGAAGTCTGCATACCCTGCTTTAGCTGAAACAAATCATACAGATTCAATTTGATCGACAGTTTAGTGGGATATTCATAGAAATGTCTGTAGTTTTTTAAATTAAAACGTTAAAAATTGCAACCCCACGCCATCTGTGTGTAAGAAATCCAACTATTTTGAATATCTCTCTCTGTCTCTTGTCGCATTGCCTGCAGCTATGATTTTCGTTTTATGACTCTATTTTGTTTAGGTGTCCTCCAAATGAACAATGTCCAGTAAGTAGACCTGTGGTCACAAAGAGAAACACTTTTTGAATGAAAATAGTGTATTTGTTTGTATTTGTTAAATCACATAAGTCAAGGCAAATGAGGTAAAACAATTAAATGATTTGATTTAACAATTATAGACCAGGTGATGATGAAACATCCAATTTGAAATCTACGTAAGTTTCGATAAAAGAAGATCCTTAAGAAGTTTTTTCGAAAGATAGTTACTGGTGGACCACTACAATCAGGAACTTTATCAGCTCTATCATAGTTTCCAAATTCCACCTCTTATTTGTACAACCAACAACAGAAAAGAAAATATAAGGGTTCCCTTATTAAAGGACATAGTAAGTATTCAGTACCTTTTTCAAATTTTATATCACTCACCAATTTCCCTAGTATCGGGAAAAACGTACGGTTGATTCGTGATGGTGGTGAAAAGAGTATCACTCATCAGCCCCATATAGTCCTCATCCACCATCATATTCAAGTTTTCCGAACTGTTCGAGTCCCAAACCAGCAGATCCATATCGTTCAACTGAAATTAATGAGAATACAGAACTTACAGAAAAGATAGAGGTTTTTTTTTCTACTCACTATATCGGGTGGTTCTTTTGTGGCATGTCCAAGCAAGTTGTTCCTGTAAAACATGCGCCATTTTTTGTATTCAGCAGTAACTGCTGCTAATTTTCTTTTCCAGTATTTTCCTTCCAACACAACCGCCTGAAAAATAAGGTAAGATTTTATTCGAATTTCAAACTAAGTATATTTTTGCCATCTACAGAACATACAGATCTTCTCAAATATATAACAGAAGTTGCAATTTGTTTTTTAAATGACAGGACATGAGCAATACATTTCTTGATGAAAATTCAAATTTTGAAATATTTTTTTTTTCAATTTTCTCGAAAGTTTTAACCCACGGCTAACCCACGAATTCACTGACCCAACTGCTATTAAAGCCCTTTATAGTTCACTGGTCCGTCTACACCTGGAGTATTGTTCTTCTGTCTGGGCTCCTCATTGTGTAACTTATATCAAGAACATCGAAAATATCCAAGAAGTTAATTCACCCCCACTTCGTTCAATCATCGCGCGTTTTCCTGGGTTCCCGGTGTACTTGACATTTCATGTGAAACACTTATTTATTTGTATTAGATTTTAATCTGGTGATTTAATACCATTGTCAAGTATAGCATTTTTTGAATGTGAATGAGATTTATTCAAGCTAATGTTTGTGATATGAATGCTCAGTAAATATAACGTCCTGGATGATGTGTACAAAAGAGATTATATTTGAATTTGATAAGCATGTTTTTTTAAAAGACAAGCAGAGTGTATTACGAGTTCGACAGTGAAGAAGGTCACTTTCTTTGTATTTTTCGATTGACGAAATATAACTTTGTATAGAAAAATGCCCGTACGTCAATTTGTGCATGCACAAACTGGCACAAACTAATGAAAACGAAACGATGTGGTTATTGATTCGAAAAACTTGAACATTACCATCTATATTTGATTCATATTTCACTCGAAAATAAATCTGAAATTTATAATTATTTTGAATTTCTTTTATTACAGTTTGAATCTACCACTACTTTTTACTAGAGTCTGTATACTAACCTGTCTATCAATTCACTTTTTTTCCAGTAACTTTTGAATTACGGCATGCAAGCCAACGATTTAATGTTACAACATTGTTATCCTTTACAGTTGCAAATTTTAGTTTTGCTCCAGGAACATCTTCTTGTGTTAAAAACATTATTTTTTAATTGTACTTTACCTTATGTTTATATGAGGATTAGGCAGTGTTTGTCCCTACCGAACTACTAGCGCTGCTAGTGAGTGATTTTTCGTACTTCAGGAAAAAGGTTCATTGGATGATACGAATATTGATAACTGTTTGAAGTTTTTAGTGATGTAAGGAATAAATCAACATCTGGTTATGATGAAATTTCAATCAAAATTATTGAAAATCTTCCAATAGAAGCGCTCAGAACTCTTGTATCGCTAATCAATTTTTCATCCAGAAATGGCAGGTTTCCATCCTTTCTAAAATTGTCGATAATGATTCCTTTATATAAAGGTAACTCTGTAGATGATCTTTCAAATTATCGACCAATATCTCTCATTCCTACCATTGCAGAAATAATTGAAAAACTAGTATAGAAAAGACTCAATGAATTGAAAAATCAATTTTGATTCCAGAACAAAAAAAGAACACATGGTGCAATATTCTCTTTCTTTTTTGATGTGTATTCCAATATAAATGATGGAGATGCTGCTGCAGCAGTGTTTTGTGATCTTACAAAAGCGTTTGACTGCGTTGATCATAAAATACGGCTACGTAAGCTGAATATCTATGGTTTGAGTCGTAACTCAATAGTCGCAGTCAGATTGTGAAAACGATTAAATGTACAAACAGTAGTGAAATAAATACTGGTGTACCACAGGGATCGGTTATCGGTCCCATATTCTTCCTGTTGTATATTAACGATTTGATGAACATAAGTATATTTGGAACATGCACTCTTTTTGCTGACGACACCACTATATTGTGGCATAGTAAAGGTACAGATATACTCAATGAGACAATAGCTCATGATACACAAAAAAAATCAAGTCTTGGCGTGATTCCAATCTACTCTCTCTTAATATTTCTGAAACAAATATGACTTTCAAATGTTCACTTCAGAATTTATCTGTAGCGAGCGGTATCATTGAGAACAGAGAGTGTACTAAGTTTCTGGGACTGTATATAGACGGTGGTCTGAAATTTGACGATCACATCAGAAAAATGAAAAGTAAACTTTCCCCCAGCTGTTATGCAGTGAGAGTTATTGCTAGAGAACTGGGGGTTTATACTGCGAAAACAGCATATCACGCTTTGGTAGAGTCTCACTTGAGGTACGGTATACCTTTTTGGGGTGTGTGTAGCCTTAATTTGCTGGAGTCTGTATTTGTATTGCAGAAGAGAGCTATACGATACTTGTGCAAAGCTTAACTTCGTGACTCATGCAGGCAACTGTTTATAAATAAAAAAATGTTGACGGTTGTAGCTCTTTTTATTCTGGAGACAGTGTGTTTAATTAAGAAACATGTTGTGAAACTTGAGGTTACCACCCATCACTATACAACTCGTCAGAGCATGCAAAAAAATTTAAAATTGCCGATCCCTTGCAACTATCTGGTCAAGGACTTATTTTACAATGGTGTGACGATGTATAACCATCTGCCGAGTTACACTAAAGAGAGATATATTGATACCAATCAGTACAGAAAAATTATTAAAGAAATTTTGAGTAGTAGACCCTATTACAGTTTGACTGGGTTCTATACCGGTCATTTTTAACTTAGCATGTTTTATGTGTATGTATGTTTCAACCATTGTTTGTGATTTTTTATTCAGTGTTTTTATACTTTAGTTTACATTATATTTCATCTATATTTTTATATTCATAGGACATTTATGTATTCTTTTGTATTTATTCACTAACTTTGTCAACAAGATTTTTTCTTTGGACAATAAAGTATACAATATAATGAAAAATAATAATAAGTTAAGTCCAATGTTACGATTTTTGATTAATTTCATAAAACTCATCAGCACTTCATTATTTATTCCATAAAAACATATTTTCAATTCCGATATCTGGAAATTTGAATTTTTCATTCTACGGAACATACAACCAAATTGGTGTAAGGATATTCATGATATTTTAGAATTACCGTTTTTTTAACTTCAGCGCCCAGTTTCTCAGAAACGAAGCAATTTCGGACATTTTTTTCGAAACGACCTAACAAATCACCGTCTGAAGTTTCGTACCGTAGTTAGGAAACACCCTGTATATTTGATGGGTAAAATTTTTATTTTCGAGTCAGTTCGCTGGTTTGATATAAATCTACTGCAATCAAATATAGACAAATGTCAAAAAATATTTACTTTTTTCCGAAACAAAAATTCCATTAACCGGCCATATAAAACCAATAAATCAGAACTGAAAACAACAAACATAATCAGAGATTTAGGAATCACTCTCGACCCAAAAATGTCATTTAAACACCATATTGCAAATATTACTTCTAAAGCACTGAAAATGTTAGGTTTCATTCTTAGATCTGCAAATTAATTATCTCTCACTTCAATAAAAATCATATATTGTTTGTTCAATTGTTAGATCAATAATCGAACACAATTCCACAGTGTTCATGTGGATATTGATTGATATGTTTGAAAGTGTTCAAAATAAGTTTTTAAGGTACTCTTCATATAAACTGGGATATCATATTGGTGAATATGACTATAAAATAATATTGGACATTCTTAACTTGAATACTCTGGCTCATAGAAGATTAGTCAGATCTTACACTAATTCATAAAATAATCAATGGTAGCATTAATTTCCCGGAACTTGTCGAACTTATAACTTTAAATTTGAATCCAAGTTGAAGAAGAAATTCAAAAATCCTCAAAGTACCCTTTTGTTGCACCAACTATGGCCGGAATGAATCTGTGGTTAGAATTTTGAGACTTGCAAATACATATAATGTAGATTTAGAATTTTGAGACTTGCAAATACATATAATGTAGATTTAGAATTTTTTAATTCTTCTTTGGAAACATTTAGAGAGACTGCAATTCATTACCTTATTTTTACGATTTTTTTTATTTTATTTTATATATTTTTTCCTTAAACCTAGCTTAGATTACTGTTAAATACATATGTGTGAACTTGTTAATTATTTTGAAAAAAATAGGCATTGACGTAAATAAATAAATAATCAAATTTCATCTCCAATTGGCCGTTCAACACAGACCATCGCATAACATTTTACTGACTGGGTAAAATTTGAAGTAACAAAGCTTTTTTTTTTCGAAAATACAAATCAACTGGTTAATTTTTAGTCGACATGGGAAAAATATAATCTTGGAATTTATGATATCTCACTACGACTTGGTTCTTATTCATACGAATAAATAATTACAGACAGATAAGCTATCTATCGAACTTGAACCAGTAGTGTGTCCTCTCGAAAAGTATCTTTCAATAAGATAATCATAACCAATTACCAGAAGATTGTTCTGGTCTTTTTAGTTTGGAGATACAGATGGTCATTGAACTACACCTTGCATTGGGTCAATTAAAACATTGTTACATAATACACTCTGAATTATAAATAGTGTTACATTTTTCCCCGTGGGTTCACCAATAATTGACTGCACTGAATAATCAAACTTAACTTTATTTCACTTCAAATACAACCAACACTTCAACTAAAAATTCAACTATTATTAGAATGTCAATCGCCTTACTAGATCACCTCGCGTACCGCACTATAGCTTCCACTTGACTGTCTCAAAATGCTCGCAGCTAGCGTTTAAATATCGTAATCGAATGCCGTAGAAATTTCGCAGAAGTTCTGTCGAAGTCGGTAGCTTTATTCTCGCTGCTTCTCGAGTGGCGGGGAATCATCGTACATTCGCGCGCTCTTAGCTACGTCACCATCGGTTTATGGCTACCAGCGGCGGCCGGCGTTATTTTCTTTCGGGCATAATTTACAAAAATAGGTTTACCTAAGAAATATGTAGATCACTAAAAAATGTATTCAGTCGGGCGAATCGGCAGTGATTGAAGTTATTGAAATATAAATAATTCTGTATGGAAATGTATAGTTATATATGTACGAGGGTGGTCCCAGAAGTACCCAGTCTGACCTAGTGA